CGTACCAATGATAGCAGGTAAACATACGAATAACAGCATATAGTATAGTTATTCATATAACAACATATAGCAAGTGGGAAAACAGTGTTACAAAAATTGTCCACTTTTGTCAAAGTATAATAAAGGTATTATTGTTTGGCGGATATCCAACTGTTACAGAAAGTAAAAATTTTACACTTTGCATAGTTTCAAGGTTAGTCATTTTTAGTGCTCGCTAGATATAATATAATAAAAATATATATAATATAAGAAAAATAATTGTTCCGTTATCTGGATCATTTTTCTGCTCTTTTGATTCTAAAGCTTGTTTGTCTAATTATATCATACATTACGTTTAACACATCATTATTATTACCGTTACTGTTTCGCTTACAATTTGAATAGATACCTGTGTCTAACAACATTAGCTTCGACTTGCTGTATGTACCCAATTGGGTTCCATTGACGACGGCTCCCCTGATCATAGTTGGTACTGCTCCCCGCCATAGTGCACGCACACCATCTTTCCTCCCAATATCGATTAACCCGGTAAAGCCATTTCTATAATTCCACCGCTTTTCTAAAAATTGGTCCTTCGGTTTACACACCTTTTCAAAAGTTTGTTCAGTTATGAATAGGGCCTAAACAATTTCACTGTTCATACTTCTATTTTCAGCGCAAACAGTGTTTTAAACAGTGTAGTACATTTATTATGCTACAATCGGATTGATATAATTTAAAATGTTCGTTTTCTTTATTTTATATAATATCTTATATGATTCGTAAATGTAAATTATGTATTTTACATAATATTTTATATTAATCAATAAATATGAACGATGTGTTTTATATAATATTTTATGTAATTAATAACTGTGAATCATGTATTCTCTATAATGTTTTATATAGTTCATAAATATAAATTACGTATTTTATATAATATTTCATATAATCAATAAATATGAATGTTTTTTATATAATATTTTATGTGTATAATTGATAACCGATAATATTTGATATAATTCCATAAATATGAATTATACATATATTTTGTATAATATTACATATAATCAATTAATATGAGTCAGGTATTTTAGAATGTAATTGTTGAGTAAATAATATTAAACTCACCGGGGGGTAGTTTCATGTCTGCTATCATGCGAACTAAAACCAAATCAGTTGGAGTTCCAAGAAACGAACCCACAACGCCGGACACCATTCCGATACCGATCATTGTTGCAAAATTCAAGCGTCCGAAATATTGTCTAAATTTCATTTATGGATATGTATTATTCTAGAATGAACCGTAAATCATTTCAATAGTCCATAGATCAAATTCATTGTCCATACATCATATGACCTTAATGTACATAACTTATAATTCATAAATATGAATTATGTATTTTATGTAATATTTTATATAATTAATAAACATGAACGACGTGTTTTATATAATATTTTATGTAATTAATAACTGTGAATTATGTATTTTATATAATATTTGATATAATTCCATAAATATAAATTATGTATTTTGTATAATATTATATATAATCAATCACGACAAAAATTTAATATTTAAAATTTTTGGCATGACAAAATCCATAATCTAATCAATTTTCCGACGTACATAAATTAATACTTTTTTGTAGAAAATGTCGTGCTGCATCAACTAATGTTTAAAAAGATATATGATTATAAAAATATGAGTATATAAATCTCCGAAAATTCTCCAACTGCAAGAAAATCATTATGGCTCTCTGAACAGAAAAGCTTTTGTTGATAAAGTTTTCCGATACATCCAAAAATAACAGCTGAGACACCCTGTATATGTATAACAAATTATCATCTCGTTGTATTCAAACATTTGATCATCCGGAACGTTGCTTTCTTTTCACTTCAAGCATTTCAGAGAAATCGCATTTCAAACAAAATTTCGAATGGCCAATTAAATGCATTTCAATACATTATACCCGTGCAAATAGTGCAAATGAGATAAAACGGGTGCATGTACTCACTGACAAACGTCGTACAAAGTAGTGTATATCCCGAGTCTAGTCGTGCTATATGTTAACTGTCGAAGAACAGCAGCGGTCCAACCAACGTAAAATCCACGTAATCCGACTGTTCGTAAAGTTTCTTTTATCGTCGCACCGAAGCTAGTCTTCGAAATCTGCATTCGCACTTTGGTTACATCCAAGGGGTGCGTTGTAGTCTGTCCCACGACCCTGTTACAATAACGTTCTTATCTTTTCGCTGAAACATTTTACAATTCAACCCTTCAACGTTTCATCTATACGCGTTACACCAAACCCAAACATTTTTATCTACGCGTATCACTTCTTAAAAAGTTAAAACTTGCGTTCATAGTAGTAGTAGTAGTAGTAGTAGTAATCATATAGTAGTTTTACCCAGACACTCCACCAATGATAAAGTTGATGAAAGTGGGTACTCTCTTGTTTGGATTGGATAGTAGCGACATCGATTCATATTTTGATCTTTGTGCATCGAAAAGCGAATGAAATAATGTTTACGACAGAATTTCAAAAATTCGATATGTTTCTTAATCTTCATCTCATTCGCGCATCGCCTTCATGTCGCGACACTACTGAACACAGCAGTATTTACGTCTAAAAAATACTTTCTTTTTCTCGTTTCATTTATTTTTGTGTCTAATTTTGATGATTTGGGTGGATGACCGTTGCAGAGGATGTATTTTCAATGCTGAATCGATTAAAATGCTCAGAAAAAATGTCTTTTTGAAATCGATCTTCCAATGAAACAGAGACTGTCTATTTCAAGAGACTGAAGCTGATAACTAGATTGCGGATTTTTATGAAAAATAGACATTTTCTAAGTGTATATTTTGTTATTTAGTAACTTGGTTAAGTCGAAAATAATGTAACATCGTTCTTAAAAATTCGTCTTATTGACTCTACAGTTCTTTATTAGTTATTTATTTTATTATAACACTGGTTTATCTCTAACCAATTAGCTGTGGCACCTCCTTCTCGCTGTTAAAATATTGGATCAAAAAAATGGTTTTATTTTACAAATTTAACAATTTTATTCCTAATATTTATTTATTCACTTAATATTAACATATACTGCATATATAATAAACGAAAAACGCAGAAAAAATCAAATACTTATAAAAGTTAAAAATTTTAATTGCTGCCTGTAGAGTGATACTCAGCAAAGCAAAGGCACTTTGCACGTCGAACACCAAAATCGCGATTCTTTTCTAATCTTATTTTTATAACAATGTAAACACTTTCGCGTAGAATTGGCCTCAAAATATTCTAAACATCTTGAAATTTCAGAATATGTTTTTGTTTTCACTAAAATTACAATTTAAATAGCCAATAGTCACTGCTTTTTACGCACGACAAGTGTACTCGTCAAACACAGCTAACTGGTTAAAGAAAATCGAAAGCTTTCATTTCGTTATTTTTAAGAAACGACAAATGAGCAAACGACATTTATTTGGAACACTAAATCGTATAAAATTGTCTGTAAATTCATCTGCATGGCTGAGATGCATCGTCGTTATAATCGAGAGATAATTTCATGAAATAATCAATGAGATCTGTCATATTCGTCTCTATCTTCTTCGCTGTCTTTGCGAGAACCTGCTGCAGCAATGACAACTTTTCGTGGACCATCGATATCGTTGTACTCATGGCCGGACTGACAGCAACCAGCAAACCATGAGTTCTGAGCTCAGCGTCGTGTAACAATATGGCAGAACCCTCCTTTTTCTCTGAATTATATACGATCTAGAAATTATGGAAGCATCTAGTTGAACAATTGACAATTTGCGATAGTTATCCGACAATTTTTTCTACCTCCGATAGATTTTTAATTTGTTTGAATTTGTCGGACTTGTCGAGTACAACAAAGAAATATATAATAATATATATAATAATATATACATATATTATTATTTATTATTATATATATCATTATATATATATATATTATTATTTATTATTATATATATCATTATATATATATATATATATATATATATATATATTATTATTTATTATTATATATATAATGATATATATAATATATCATAATATTTATATTATATATAATAATTGATCTAAATCTTGACTGAAATTATACTAACAAGCAGAAGGACGATTTTGATAAAACTTCTTCTAATGGAGTAAAAATCTATTTGGAGTAAAAATAAATCAACCGATATCGTGTATTGAATTTGTATGATTTACACAAATATTGAATTAATTGACAGTAAGAAACGTACTGCACTGATTGTAACAGCGAAGATAATAAAGTGATAAGTTCTTAAATCTTTGTGTCAGAGATTTAAATCGTGGAAATTAATATTTTGTTTGTTTTCTTTTCAATACATATTTTTCATTTTTTATTTCGTAATGTTTGTTAAATTCTTTTCTTTCTTCACAAATTTTCCTCTCTTCAATCTTTCTTTCCCAGTTCACTATAATTTTATTGCAATGTACGTTGTGGCAATAATTTCGGAAGATCAATATTTCATTTATTATCTTTGCGTATTTTCTTTGTTTCAATCTCCTTTTCTCAATTCACTGATATACAATGTGACGCGTGATACGCATTAAAACAATTGAAATAAATAAACAAAATATTAACATTAAATAAAATGTTAATATAATAAAATATTAATATAGATTTAAGAATCTATCATTTACGTTTGTATTTGTGCTACAAAGATTAAATATAAAATATCTTTATAAATAATGTACACGCGAAAATGGCAAAATATAGATCGGCTTATTTTTGCTCAAGATTTATCAAAATCAATGTACCAACAATTGCGACCTCTCGCTATATAACATGACTGATTTTTGTAACAAATTATCCCATAATCATACATAAATTAACAGAATCATAAATAAATCATACATAACAGAAGTTTGGTCTTCAGATTATTAAGAAAATAGTTTGAACGTACGCCACATTTTTCGATCAAATTCTTCAGTTTCGGCCAAGTATAAGTAGCAAATCTTGAATTAACCAGTTCACAAATTGCGATTCCATATCTGTCCGTTGTTTCATTCCATTGGGGCGCTGCTTTTAGGTATTGTTCGTACCCCGACGATACCCTTTTCCAAGTGTGGCGTGGAATATCGGCGACAAAATGGTTCTTCTCTGAACTGTGCAAATAATAATGTTATTCATGCAAAATAAAAACTGTCTGCATCGATTACAAGAAATAGGAGCGAAAACATTTCTTTTTCTCGCTTTAACCCTTTCGCTACGGGCGGATTCTCCGTCGCGGTACTTCTGCTGAACAGAGCGCTGCGACATCACTGCACGCTACGCGACGGCGATCGTCAGCGGAAGTCGGTACTCCGCGGCGGTCAGCGGAGAACCTAAGCTGTTTGAATTGAATGAATTTTTCGAACGAAAAAATTTTTCTCCAAAGGGTATTTATAAATAAAGGGTATTCCAGGGTATTTTATAACGTCTTAGCATGCGCTCTTTAATTTACAGTATGAGAGGAAATAACATTATGCAATATAATGCATCTTATGGAAAGCCACTATAGTGGTCCGTAGTACCTCAGTGGCACCAAATGGAAAGCCACTATAGTGGTCCGTAGTACCTCAGTGGCACCAAATGGAAAGCCACTATAGTGGTCCGTAGTACCTCAGTGGCATCATATGGAAAGCCACTATAGTGGTCCGTAGTAGCGAAAGGGTTAATAATCTTTAGTAAGTTTGATACGCCACACACTCGCGGTTTCTTTGAATCTTTTCACTGCTTATACGACACCTACTCGTATTGATCGTAAACGCACAACTACATTCGTTTCCTCGAAGTATGCAATACGATTATCTATAATGGCCCGCTTTTACTTGTCACTTGATTTCTTCAGGATTCAACAGTTACATTTCGAATTTTAAATGAAGATTATTATAATCAAATCTATTTCATAACGTGACTTACGAATATTATTAAAACAAGATCAGTGCATTAAAATGTTCGCAAGACAATTTACATAATAGCTGCATTAATTAACACGTGATAATTTAACCCAGTTTTCATGGAAACCCTGTATGATTACAAGAATATGGGAGAATGTATTTCAGCCTCCAAAAGTCGTACTTATGTAGAATCTCATTTTTCTCTTTTCATTTAATTTTAATTATATTACCGTTTCAAAACTGCATAAGAATTATTTACAAGTATGTTCCTCCAATTGCAAATTTCATCCAGTCCATGTAACTCTGCACGTACGAATAAAACGGGTGTACATTCTCCATCAGGACGATTAATTTGTCACTATGTTTGTCCATGTAGCAATAACATTCAATGGTCATGTAACCGAAATAACCTTCCTTTTGCAATCCTCTGGCACATTTGTTTATATCCGGTTCGAGTTTACTGTTGTTTAACGACGTTTGCGGCATCATGAAAACATTCGTCGCAGAAATGTGAAGGTCTGCCATTGAAATTAATTATTATTTCTCAAACTTTTACTGATCTAGAAAATCGTTGTACAGTAAATTCTCCCTAATTCGTGCTAAGATTGTGCACAGAAATGAACAATTTGAGAAAAGGATTATATATTGTATTAATTTTATATTATATTTTATAGTAGTTAACAATCGGCAACTACAAAAGTAATAATAATAATAATCGTATCTCCTCTTCCCAAATTGCCCATTTTTATGCACAATCAGTGCGCGAATTAGGGTGAATTTACTGCAATTGGCATTGGTTATTGAAATTGATTCGGGTTCGTGAGCATACAGGGTGTCCCAAAATTATGATACTTCCGGGAAAATTAGGGGTTCTTGAGGTCATTTGAAGTAACTTTTTCCTTAGCGAAAATGCAATCCGAGGCTTCGTCAATAACTCCTAAACAAAGCCGCGGATTGCATTTTCGCAAAGGAAAAAGTCACTTCAAATGACCTCATTTCCCGGAAATACCATAATTTTGATTATTCCATCCCCAGAAATAACGAAACCAATAACAATAACGATCCGATAACAGTGCATACCCAAGCGCAAGATGTCGGCGGTTCCCAGCCACTTCAGCTTCCCTTTGGTCCCCTTTTTGGGAACAAATAGGCTAACGGAAATCTTTTTCCCATCCTTCTTCCTGGGTGTACCCTGCAGCAGACAGCCGAATTTCTGTATGTGAACGTAGAATTCATTCCAGGAGTCGAAGAGTCTTGACAATCGTGTGCCATCGGCGACCACGGTTGGCAAATGTTCCTGCAGCTTCGCGAGGAATGTGTTCCGCGGTTCGCAGCTCGGCCCCCATTCGTCGCCAAATCTTTCTCGCTCCTTCCGTATGCTCGGCATGAACGGGATGCTAATGTGATTGATAAGGAATTTGCCGCGATGCTTGGAAAGCGAGCCCAGGTTCAGTTTCAACGTCCATACGCAAACTTCCGTGTGATCGATGATCAAGCGGGCCAGCATGGAGCAAAGGGTTTCGTAATTGTAAATGTCGCCGTAATAAGGTGCTTGCGACAGCCCCATCGCGGCGATCATGCTGGCCATGTTCGATCTATGCAAGAACTTGCGTTGGATCTCCATGTCCGGGCTCAACAAGGCGACGCCCAGGTTCCCGGCTAATCTCATGTCGCACTCGTCGATAACCCAGGGTAAAAAGTACGCGGGCTTGCCGGCGATCTTCTTCCTGATCTCGCGAAGGGACTCCTCCGAACAATGCAGAATCCTCGAGACGTTCAGCGTACGATTACGAAAGGTACCGCCTTCGGAGAGGGCGACGAAGCAGATCCGCTTCATGATGTCTTTATCTTGAGACATCGATTCGATGAAGTCGGTATACATCGTCAGCATCTCCGGGGTGGGTTTCGCGGCCATGATGTAGATCACTTCGGAGTTCGGGTTTCGAACGAAACAGATTTTCAAGATATTCATGTTTTGTATCATGGCGAAACGTTTCGGTTCGTACGGCCGACGTAACTCCATGGGGTAGCCTAGGGACGTTAGATGCAGAACCACGTGCGGCTTGTTGATTATAGCGACGAATTCTTTGCTCAATTTTAGGGATAGCTCTCGAGTTGTTTGCATCGATATCAACATATTGCGCAGGTAACGCTCGTATATCTCCTTTTTCTTCTGAACTGTCAGCCAGTTTAACCATAAGACATTGGCGGCTATGTAGAGCTGGTGCGATTCCTTTATCTTCTTCCGTATCTGTAAGAAATAAACGGGATTGAAACATTTGATTCGGGTTTTATGCAAAGATGGTCATACATCAACTTCTAATTTTAAGATTTTGCTTTAAATTTTCATGTAAAGCGATGAGCAAATTCTTCGGTTTAACGATTTCGAGCTTGAAATGATCTTGTTTTAAAAGAATACGACGAAGAAATAACGCTATTTTGATTTTTAAAAAAGTCACGATGACAATAAAAACAAACAGTAACAGAATTATCATTGCTGTTTTTCTGTGTACAATGATAGTTCAGTTTCAGAATTAATTCTTCTGGAGACGAATTGACTTTGATCTTGAAAATTCAAAGTCAGAAATCGAAAATTTGTAATAATAATAATAATAAATAATAAATATTTATGCACAGAAATTTACGTATATTTAAATTTTGCAAAGTCGATTCTCGCGATGAGTAAAATATGATGCAATGGTCAACATTTTTAGGTTTCTGACTCGGAATTTTTAAGACGAGGATCAATTTTGTGACAAATTGTTATATTATAATTTTGTGACACCGTACACTTATGCGTATAAAGCAAAAATTATTTACCACGTAACCACGATAATAAGTTTGTATGAGAGTTGCCGCGATGACTTGCTTGTGCACTGTTTGAAGCTGCAATTTCCAAGAGGACAACCAGACACTTTCCTCATCGTCTTGTAAAAGAGGTATCAAGTCATCCTTAAACAATATAAAGTTCGCCCCATTCTCGTGAATATTGGACAGAAAATTGAAAGTAGCTCTCGGATTGAAATGCAAAGTCGGTATATGACGTTCCAACAGAATCTTCTCAATTTGTGGACATAACACCACATACCACTTTGTGCTGTATTGGTTTCCAAGTAGGTCTAACGCTTTCATCCAAAGCAGAGAATCCACGAATTTTCCGTCACTGAATTTTAGATTGTGTATCTTCGATAATTCATCCTTCATGGAAAACGATTTGAACGAATCGTATTCTTTGCGGATTTCACTGAAAGTGTCCGTCTGCGATTGCTTCATTGTCAATCGGCGAGCCCCTTTATGACCCTCGGATCTGAATAGAACCAGATATTTTAGAATAAATATTCTATTGTACTCATTAAATTATCTATTCTTATTGTGCATTTAGAGATTCGCATTGTTGATGAGTTATTTTAAACAAACATTCGGTATTCAAAATTACTACAAATATTTATAATTCGGTATCAACAATTACTAGAAATATTTATACAAATATTCAGTATTAACAGTGTCAACAATGAAGCAATAATGTTTTTACGTGTAGGGTGTCCAAGAAAACATTAAACTTTTTCAATGCGAAATCTTAGCTTCGAGAAAATCGAGTTTGACATTGGATTTTTTTAAATATAAAATTTCAAGGAACAAATTTCTTTCTATCTTTTCTTTCTATTTGCTATTTATCTATTTTGTCTTAAATTATTAAATGGAACGGCCAATTTTTCATAATGAAATCTTATTGTTACTATGGAACATGATCCAAACTATAATAGTTCATGTTTTATGATAGATGTAATTTCGAGGTGGAATTTATTGCGTCAAGCATCAGCTTAAACCCTTCGCTCGATACAAATTAGATTGTTATTGAACAAATCAATATTTAATCAAAATAACAAAATAGTTGAAATAGAAAAATAGGAGTTTTCTACTTTAATATTTAAATAATAACAGAAATAATAATAATATATAATATAATATAATAACATATAATATAATATAATATAATATAATAACAAATAATAACAGAATTATATTGTGACGAGACGAACTTTTTCATTTTTCTTCTAACACGTATTCAATATTTCTTAAGAAAAATTACCTACTGATCGTCTAGCTTTCTAGGTAGACGTAACATTTTTCCTCGGAGATACATCATATCCTGTTTGAACTTCACATCGGACAGATCGAATTCTGATTGCATGGTCTCCTGCGGTTTACCTAAAACATTCTGAATGTTTTCTAGCTTCCATGGTGGTACATTCTCCCAAAAACAGCGGCAGGGTATTTTGTTATCCGTCTCATCGTGCGAATCGGCGGTGACAAATGTTCCGCAAGCTTTCTTTATGTTTCGCAAAGATAGATTGAACGGTGGTTCAGCACGTTTGTCTATTGCTGTCTGCAAATTGATTTTCAACCGTAATAGATGCTCCTCACACGATCTTTCTAGACCCAGGAGTGTTTTCAGCGTATCTTCGTAAAAATGTTGCGTGATTTGCGGATCTCTGGACTCATCTATGATACCTGGTTTACTGTACGCGTACAAAACTGACAATAATTGTTCACATACAATAGGAAATAGCTAAATAACTGTTAAATAAAGCTTTACGTTCTGTGCGAAAATTCGTAATTAACTAAATTGTTAATCATAATAATAATATGTAAATCAATCTGGCTCAGTAAAATTACAAAAGGTAACGTAGAAAGAATTGAAGGATATTGTGTGTGTGTGTGTGTGTGTGTGTGTGTGTGTGTGTGTGTGTGTGTGTGTGTGTGTGTGTGTGTGTGTGTGTGTGTGTGTGTGTGTGTGTGTGTGTGTGTGTGTGTGTGTGTGTGTGTGTGTGTGTGTGTGTGTGTGTGTGTGTGTGTGTGTGTGTGTGTGTGTGTGTGTGTGTGTGTGTGTGTGTGTGTGTGTGTGTGTGTGTGTGTGTGTGTGTGTGTGTGTGTGTGTGTGTGTGTGTGTGTGTGTGTGTGTGTGTGTGTGTGTGTGTGTGTGTGTGTGTGTGTGTGTGTGTGTGTGTGTGTGTGTGTGTGTGTGTGTGTGTGTGTGTGTGTGTGTGTGTGTGTGTGTGTGTGTGTGTGTGTGTGTGTGTGTGTGTGTGTGTGTGTGTGTGTGTGTGTGTGTGTGTGTGTGTGTGTGTGTGTGTGTGTGTGTGTGTGTGTGTGTGTGTGTGTGTGTGTGTGTGTGTGTGTGTGTGTGTGTGTGTGTGTGTGTGTGTGTGTACAAATTAATTCTTCAGAGACTAATAATTAATAAAATCATAATTAAAGACTAATTAATTAATAGAGACTAATAATAATAAAGAATAATTAATTAATAATTAGAGACTAATAATTAATTAAATCATAATTAATAATCATTAATAAAATAAATACACGATGAAAAATAAACCCAAAAGTATGACCAACAATTTTAATCGTTCGTCTTAGTTTGTTCGAGAAATAATTATTTTATTTTCTACATTCAAAATGTAGTTTATTCCCGCAACTTTAATTCATTAATATAAGCGTAACTACATTTACCGTTACGGCGAAGCTTATAATTAGAAATTAGAAACGAACCTCATCCGTCTAAGAACACGTTCATTTTCATTGCGAAGCAAGTGTTTAGCTGAGCTATATTTCTCTTGAAATGATTGCATAGCGTTTTGCAGCGTTTCTATCCACCGCGTGTAGGATTCGTCCGTTAACAATAATTTATGATGCCGATTCATTTTGATAACTACGGCAGCCTAATTATGAATCATGAATTAAAGCAACGACTTAGAGCTTTGCTAGAGAAAATTCAAATAAGATGCTATACAGAACATTCCACGAATAACACAATTTTCAATAATGAAATATTCACAAACGAAATTTATCAGTATACGTAAGGTCAAGATAATCTTCTTTTACATTTAATTAAAATTGTACCTTATTTTCTTTCCAGGAACCACCTCTATCAAACTTTGATTATATAGTAATAAATAGGGTACGATTTATTTATTTGTAAACGTATTTGAATTTGTGTATATATGTCACCGATAAATAACTTAGGCAACGGATTCGCATAACAGCACACCGGTCATTTGCATTTGCATGCTTCCATTGATACGTCACCTAAGTGATGTGGAACTTGTATGTATCTATGTGTTGCGACAAGTACGCTACGTTGAAACTTTTATATGTTTTATTACACCACCGAATCATAAAACTGAACACAGACATCAATTGATGTCAATATTATAAATTGTAAATAGTTTAATATGTCTATAGATTTAATCAATCTACAAAGATGGCGCTCATTTTGATTTACTTATATGCCTGTGAAGTGCTCGGTTGACATATGAGGAGGTTATATTCCTTCGTGTCTTTCATTTTATGCCTATGAAAGCGCTATAGAAAAGTTTTATAGTTCATTCACCGGGAAAAACAGGCAAAAGTGTGAAGACGATAACGTATTCATCTGAAGTGGATTATTCGTGATTGTTAAAGAACTACTGAGCTTCTATGACAGTAGATTGTCAAAGTATGTTATTCAATGTTTTGATGTATTTAATCACCACGAATTTTTGATTTCATTTGTCATTTTATTCGACACTTCAGTAAAAAAGGATGATCTACGTTTTATAAATATTTATTTTATATTACATTCATAGTTGAAGTATCACAGTACAAAATTAATTAGCACGTACAGACACATTAGACACATAGCAGACACATTAGTTGGTAGCTAAAATACATAAATTCCTTATTTTTCAAATTTGGATGCACTACATTATTTTCAGAAGTCTAAGGGACGGCAATGGGGGCAACACCAAGTCGGAATGATGATCTCTCTAAGAATGTCTATTTGGAAAGATTCTGTGGAAAAAAAAGTATTCTGCCAAATGATCCATTCTGGGATACTTTTCTTTCTTACAACATGCGCCCACCTATCACGCGGAATGATCAAATAGAATTAGATTCTCGATTGGACTCTTCTTGTCAACAACTACTTGCTAATAATTTAACCACTGGCAACTTTGGCAGTTTAATACAAGTTGCTCTCACTCGTGCCAGTAACCTGCTGACACCAACGCAAAATCAGAAGTATGATATGCTTTTGTTTCAAGAAAATACATTTAAATGCAAAAGTGTAAATGTGTTTGGTAAATAATTTTGCATGCAAATAATTTCATTTAATATTACTCTGTTCGTAGAATCATATCAGCATGGCAGACATATAATGCATTATTCGCAGTAAGATGTATTTTAAAATATCTAATTGAAACTGTTGGCGAGGAAGAAATGATCAAACACATAGAAGCACCTCAATTACCTGTACCAACTCAAATAAATTCATCTTACAGATTAGAAGACTTTTATGAAGCTTTAGGTGATATCATAACTGATGTACCGTTATGGTAAGAAAGCTGTGATATTTTTTACATTATAACAGTTCTTTAGTATAATCATCCTTAAAAATATTAATAAGGTTCATTCTAAACTTCATAAACATTTACTATATATGCATAATAACAGAAACTTAGAAGTACTTAATACATAATTGTTAATTTGTTTCATATGTAACATTTTATTTAACCATTTATAATAGAAATCTTATTGTATATCAAAATTTTGTTTTTCACAGTGAATTCACATATGTTGTTCATCTAGAAGCAATAAATTGCTTACTTGTACTACTTTCGGTACAATTATTTTCACAAACTGCTGCTGAATACAGCTCCATTTACAGAATAGCAATGCATTCACATTCTAGTGAACATGCACCAGCAATGGTTTGTACATTATTGCATAATTTTGTGCAGCAAGAACATGCTCCTCCAGGGTTGCTTACTCAACAAGCAGGAGGAAGTATTGTCTTTAGTATAGCGGGTATGTTTACTTATACAATACAGTATTACATTTATAAATAACTTACTAAAATGATATTAAAAATACAATGTAGGAAACAACTGTTCAATTTTATGTACTTACATTATTTACTTACTGTGCATAACATACAAAACTTATTTCAGCTGGTTTATGGAATGTGATTACAATGGGTATGGGTAGCAGCTTGAAAAATGTACAAGTTACAAATAATAATAGTTCTGAAGCGGAAGAAAAAAAACGTGACACGGAAACACCGCTTGCTAGTCAATCTCTATTATTGTTACTGGTTTTAACGAATCATTGTACTGCAACACAGAATCCTTACAGAAATGCTCTTTTCAGTTTTGTTGACATGCAAGGTTGGTACTACAGCACATTAATACAAATTATCTTTAGTATTAATTATTTTCATATAAATAATTTGAAAATAAATGCATAACTTTTTAGAAGATTATTCTGCGATACAAGCAAAAGGTGCATTTAGATTTAATTTAAATAAATTGTACAATACCATATGTAAAATACCGAACACAGACGAAGTTACGTTATTATTGTATATGTTACTACATAGAAATTCAAGTGTAAAACAAGACAT